AATCACACTAACGCTGGCATCATGTCTCACTGATACCGTGTCGCCACACTCACCCTCTCCTCTTAAGAACTGGCCAGAAATGAATTTTAAATCAGATCAGAGACACACCCTTGAGTTGTGAGTTAGGATCATGTGATTATCATGTGATGTGTTTAATTATTATTATTATAGTCATTTAAAGATTAAAAGTAAAATGAATGAGAATCCAGTGATGTGGAAAATATTAATATTGATATCTAATAGTAAGAAAAATAAATTATTTTATAACATCATTATTTTCTCTCTCTATCTCTCTCTTCAGATAGATCAGGTTTTCTAAAGTGTAGCTCATTAGTTTATTCATTATTATTTGTATTGATATTAAATTGGAGGAAAGGACGGTCTGCCCCTGCAATTAGTTATAACGAGGATTTACTATCAACTACTCAGTTAATACAATCACTAGCTACTGTGAGTTATATAAACTAAAAGTTGTCACATGTACATAAGATACTAATGCAAGAGGGTACATGTATAATGGCAAGAGTAGTCTTGCATATTAAAAATGGTAAAGGTACGCAATCAACACAATGTCTTGTTTTATGTGGTAGGCAACCATGGTTTAGCAATGGTAGTATAATAGCGTTATTTCAAGTTGCTTCACTGACTAGTTGTTCTTTTCTTTCTTTTCTTCTCTCTTCAAGGCTAAATGGTTAGTGAAGCCATTGTGTTATGTTAGTGAATTATTCAGTGAGCTGTCTTGTGAAGACATAGCGAGATTATTAGAAATATGTGATTCGTTTATATATGTAAGTGTGTTGTTAAAGCTGTTACTATTATTATTATGTTGCTGTTCTTTTAGAGTAATTATCAAGATATACTAAAAGGAAAGATTCCAACAGAAGGTAATGTACATCACGTACAGATGCATAGCATATTATAATTTATCTACTTTCATCTCTCCTTTCTTCCACCATTCCTCTCCTCCCTTCCTCTCTCTTTCTCTCTCCCTCCCTCCAGATTCCCTCCCTGATAGTTCATGGAGTACATTGAAGGCAATATTAAGACAAAATATTAATAAATTTGGAAACATTTACTATAGATTTGTATCTAGAGAACACATTACTACTAATTAATATATTAATAAAGTTATACAGTTGTAGCACAGTACTATGTATAATTCAAATTTAAGTACCTTGATAGAGCTAACCAACAACAGTAAAATGTATTTTTCAAATATATATCAAATGTATCTGTTAAGTCATCCTCAACAACGACAATGCTTTCTATTAATAAGGGCAGCTTCTGGCTCACAAAAAGATATATCTATTTTATCTTTTTGCTGTACAGGTCTATGCTTAGCATTACCTCTTTGATGTACAATTTCAGTTGCAGCTTCTCTAAGGACAGATATTACCTTTTGATAGCCATCTTCTCTAATGGCAGACATTTCAATAAACTTTATGCCATTATTCTAAGCATACTCCTTGCTTATTGATTTAGAATTGATTCTTTTTTCATTGAGATTATCCTTGTTACCGATGAGAATTATCATCACCTCTTTTACACTATGTGCTAAAACTTCTTTTCTCCAAACCTGCTCAATGTTGAAGAATGAATCACGATCATCAATACTGAACACAAAAATAGCAATGTCAGCATTACTATAGAACTGTGTTGTTATCATCAGTTGTATTGTAGCGTTCCATTCCTGCTGTATCGTAAATGTACATCTAATAAATAATTATTTATATTAGATTTAATTTGAAAAAGCAGCTTACTTCTGTTGTACGAGGATTCTCAGTAACAATATTTATATTTACAATATCAGGGATAATTGTAGTTTGAGGCAACCTAATTACTTCATGATTTCAAAGTAATTGGACAATTGATGTTTTTCCAACGGAAAGATCACCAACAAAGAGGACCTATGACTGATAATGAACGTTTTGCTGTTGCAATCTTTTATCTTACTTTTAAATCTATCACCTCTCTAACTTTTGCCCATTCAACACTAGCCTAGATAATTCCAACTTGTAAGTATATACACATTAAATTGTTTTTGCGGCATATGGGTGTATATGATTATGATAAGTGTTTAAAATTCAGATGTACAAGTAGTAAAAGTATTAAGTTATACCTTTGTATCATGAGGTTGTTCCTTTATCTCTTGTACCTCCTCTTCCAGTGGTTCCTGTATTTCCTATAATACAGTATATAATGATAATTACTGACAGTATATACACATAGTTGCATCTTGTCTTTGTCCCATATTGTAGTGTACGCATCCAACAATAAGCTTCATTAAACTAGGGCTGTGACGTATTAAATATAATGATACCTCGGTATGGTATTGACAAAATATCCCGGTATTACTAAATATAGTAATGTATTTAAAAATACTAAAATAATTAATTAATAATTTAATTAATTAATCTTCTAGCTTTGAATGCTGGCAAGTACTGTACTTAATTTAAGTGATTTTAAAGTTAAAGATAAAAACTAGCCATTGCACTGTGTCTGGCTCAAAATGGTGTCATAATTCTGCCACTCCTACTGAACACTTTCACATTGTCAACAACCTTGCCTAGTTGCCTTATGTATCTTTTCATGTATTTTTATGTGTATTTGGCACTACTAAAGTACTGTAAAAGTACGGTATTGACGGTATAACGGTATTAGTAGTTGATACTATATTTAAAACCTTTGAAACTTAAATATATATACCTTCTATATCTAAAAGTAATACCTCGGTATATAGAAATATAGGTATACCTCACAGCCCTAGATTAAACCATTCTTTTTCAATACTGCAAGGTTCTCATTCAATTGTGTAATGAGAGGTCCCATAACAGATCGAAGAAAGGAGCAAGTGACCACAATGGAATATCCAGTATCAATATACTTTATCTTCACAAATTTACCAGACATCTTGGAAAGAATGTCAGTAATATCTTATAATTTCTTTTTGTCAGGTCTCCAGTCAAAGACAAAAGTTGCTGTTTCACATTTAAGAGAAGGGTTTGTATTGACTGATCATCACAAGCTGCATCACAGGCTCACTCCATCCTCTCAAACTTCAAGCACCTACTTCCATAGGCTCCCAAGACTTTGGAATGGGTTGCCATCTTTTGATCTAAGTCTTTCTCCCCCCTACTAATTGTATGAAAGTTAAAAAGTTTTTATGGAACCATTTTCTTAACTCTTTTAATGTCAATCACCCATGCACCTATCACTTATCATGTCCATGCAATAAATGTTCCCACTCCCCTAAAACTTCTAATTTCTCATCATTTTATTATTACTATTATTATTATTATAAACTTTACAGGAGGCCAAAGCTAATCTGATGGAATGCCAACAAAAATTGCTGACACCCAGACCAGACAAAAAAAATAATAAATAAAACCACAAAAACACAGAAACGCTAAGTAAAAGAGAAAGGAACACTAACAGAAAGATGACAAGATGAACAAGGACACAAAAAATGAAAAGAACATGCATTATCACTATTAAAATTAACTAAAAAACGATTCCAAAAAAAATTAATAAGCTTACTCTTATTAACTGGAAAAGATTTATCTAAATCAATATAAGGTAATTTATTCCAAAGACGCACAAGTTTAGGAAAATAAGAGTGATGGAAACGATTAAAGGAGGACAGTGGGAGAATTAGTTTCTTATTGGAGCCAGAACAAGTATTAGTAGAAACAAAATTAACAAACTGGAAAATATCAAAACTTGACTCAAATCAGGTACTGTTTTAATTTTTAATGTAGCATAATCTAAATAGGCTCTTTGACTCGGTCACTGAGTCCTTCAGAGACATCTTTTCTAATTTTTACGCTGTATTTATTGACTTTGTCTTTGTTAAGTTATTATTATTATTATTATTATTATTATTATTATTATTATTATTATTAGCTACTTGGTTATTCTAGTGAAGCCTCAGTGAGCTGTCTTGTGAAGACATAGCAAGATTATTCGAAATATGTGATTCATTTATATATGTACATGTATATAAGTGTGTTGTTAAAGCTGTTACTACTATGTTATTGTTCTTCTAGAGTAATTATCAAAATACACTAAAAGGGAAGATTCCAACAGAAGGTTGAAATGTGCATGTAATTTGATTTACTATACCCTCTCTCTCTTTCTCTCTCCCTTCCTCCAGATTCCCTCCCTGATAGTTCATGGAGTACATTGAAGGCAATATTAAGACAAAATATTAATAAATTTGGAAACATTTACTATAGATTTGTATATCTAGAGAACACATTACTACTAATTAAATACAGAATATCTACCACATAAAATGTTAAAAACACTCACAACAGATGACGTATATTTGTGTCTAAAGTTTGCTAAATGCTGAGGATCTTGGAAGCCTCAGAATAAACAAATCACAACATTTTTGTATAAACTTTATGACTGCATGTGTCATCGTTTTGACTTTTTCAGAAATCTGATCTGATAAAATCCTTTTTGACCTATAGATATTGGTATGTATAAGTCTTCTGATACTACTGGTCTTGCTTGTGCATGCTTAAGTTTCAGATTGATATGTTTCATGAGCACTCTTTCTTCTATTAAGTGTTTTGTTGTCAACATAACGTACACCATGACCATTAATATTATCATAGCCTTTTGCCGATTAATCATCATGAAAATTAAACTATTACTCATAGCTATCAGATCAGCTTCATATAGAATTGGGTCTGCTGGTGAAATCTTAGCATACATGAAACTGTTAATTTTAACTTTACGATTAATGTAATCAGTTGCATTTGAACTAGTTGTTATCTCCATTTTTGATGTGTAGTTCATGAAAGCACTAATGAAATCATTTAAGGACGATGTCTTTGGTTCTGAGTATATTGTAATTGCAAGACGATGAACCATTTTATTTTTGACCTTGTAATACACAAATGAGGTAAATGAGCTCAAATGTATTTTGTTGGTGGCTCCAAAGCCTAGGTGATGAACAAACAATTGAAAATAAGTAACAATTAAACTGTTTGCTTCTTTATTAAAAATGATTTTTAGTGTTTCATCATACTTAAAAGTTGATTTCGAGAAAACTGTTACTTCACTTAATACATGAATTCTCAATTCATCCAAAGAGCATTGTACTGTTGAATCCAAAATCTCTGTGTATGTATCTATTGTTTTCATAGGTACAATTACAGTTAATTGTTTAAGAGGTTGTCCAGGAACAAGTATTGTGAGTAATTTTAAAATGCAGTTAATGTTGTAATTGTAAGTTGTGATTACTATTGACAGCCTTTTCAGTTTATTGAGTTTCATTAAAGGGTGCTCTGATACTGTTGAATAACAGTGAAAGTTATGATAAATCATGATAAGAAGGTCTTCCAATAATGGAAACTTTGAAATAAGTTGACAAATTGGATATGTATCTAGTTCAAGCATTAAATATAATCCTATTATTGCATCACTTGGTAGATCTACTTCAGCCATGGGATCGCTAGACAAATCGAGATCATGCAGCCTAATATTTATTTTTCCATTGACAGAAGTTTGCTGGAATTGAAGTCCTTTTTTGAATGCTTCTAATTCTGTTAAATGAGACACATTAATTCTGATTGTAACATTGTGAGAAGCAACAATATAACCAGCAATAAAATAATCAAAATTATTCATAGGTACATGTACATCATTTGCAATTCTCCACGTATGACCAGAGACTAAATTATAGTCCTTATTGTGTAAAAGTAAATTATTTTCATATAGACATCTGAGCATTAAACTACTGATTATAATATACTGATTATCAGAATATGTTTTCAATACATCCAGTGTGCCTATTTCTTTGTCAATGTATTTTGATAATCCAACATAAAAAATAAGAACATTTTCAAGATTTGAGTTTTGCTCTAACTCTTCTTCAGCAAACATGAATTGTGGATTGTTAACAAGATAAATTGCTGCAAAATAATCTTGTAGTGAAGTGTGTATAAAACTGCTGGACTCATCTTTATCAAAAGCGGAAAAACTAACAATAGTGTCCATCATACTCAATTTTGGAATGCCATGAAGTTCCTTTCCAAAAATATATTCTTGCTTCATTACACCATTAAAAGCTATTTTAGAAAGATTGTAGAAATCTTTCCAAATGCCACTTAAAACAGAATGTTTAAAGTCAATTATTTGTATTAAATGAGGAGGCATTTCATAGTCTATATTAATTACTTTAGTGTCAATGAGGTGTCGCTGAAGTAATGCACGAACATAGTAATTATAAATCCCTGTCATTGTTCTTGGATGCTTATTGTTATTATTCTTAGTATATATGAAGTCAGTGAATACTTTGCACATTATGAAGCAGTTCATAGGATTGTACAGCATATTCTCAATCACAGTATTACCACTGTAATAAGAATGGAACTCAGAAACTATCGTGTCATTTTTAAAATATTTAGAAGCATATTCTAAAATTTCATTGGTACCAAAGCCTCTAAGAGCAATATGTTTTGAATCATCTTCTAAGAAAGTAAGCAAAGGTTCAGTAGCAGCATGTCTGCTTGTAACTATCACTGTTGACTTGGGAAGAATGTCTCCTTTTATAAGTTTAATAAATATTGAAGTTGAACTGTTTCTCAAATGATGTGGAAGCTCATCAAAACCATCTAATATCCAAATAACTCCTGCACCTTTTGTTTCATTGATTGCTAACATTACTTCATTCATATTAATATCATCAACATCAATGAGAAGGTTTGCAATGGTTTTGGCTTTTTGATAAGTTTCAAGACACAGTGGAATTAAAATAACAATTCTATAATCAGTTAAAAATGCATCTGTTTGTTTAACCCATCGTAACGTTAGTTCTTTAGCTAATGTGCTCTTTCCTATGCCAGGCTCTCCTTCAATTAATACAAATCTTAATTGCTCATTAGTCAGTGGTCTCAAAATATTACCAATGTCCATTTTTTCAAAATTATCGTTCTCCAGGATTTCCTTATCAGCACTTAGAAAATCTGCATCTGCTTTCTTGTGGTGACTTTTTGATCTGATTAATTTTTGAGGCATAAAAGGAACAGCAGGGGCTGTTGGACCAGCAGCTGGATATTTATTAATTTTTGGATCTTTATGCCTCGTCAGAGTTCTGTCATACTTTTCATGTAATTTTAATGCATATTCCTCGATTGGTATAGTTACTGTAGGATCAAAGACACTATATGGTGGTACATAGTACATGTATGGCATGTATATTGCTATTATTATTGCTACTATTGCAATTATTGCTCGAATTATTGGCCTCGCCCATACGTTGCGTAGACGAGGACTAGTTGCTACAAGCACTGATACCAGTATAACAATTGACCATAATGATGTAAAACTTTGTGCAGGAGTTCTAGGCATAGACTGTGTAACTACATTGCAATAGCAATAAAAATAATATATATAATTATTTTACAACTTTTGTTAAATTCACTCACCTTGGTGAAACTCCAGGTCCTTTGCTGGTATAGCAATTCCGTTCCGGATCCTGATTTCTTCTGCTGTAGCTTTGTCTCCAGTCTCTTTCACTATATCAGCCAATCTCTCTAAAGTTGGTTTTCCTTTTCCATCAACATTATCCTTCCTTTTTAGCCAGAGAGCCACACACTTTGTAAAACTTTCTTTAGTAGACCCAGCATCTCTTTTTATTGCTTCCAATGTGTTGTAATGCAGGCCACATTTTAGCCCAAAACTTTCCCATTCAGCATCAGCAAAATGCTGCAATTCTGACAAGACTCTATCAAGGTGCTCAATATCTGAAAGTAGAGAAGTCATATTGGTAAACAGAAATAGTATTACTAACTAAGCAGGATAGTAGTATCTGTGATGGAGGCCATTACTGTGACAGAAAGAAGATCGGACAAGACTAGCAATGATATGGAATGCTAGAGCATAGATATTAGAGTTGATTGGAAGCAGCTCACGTGATCACAATCCGTGTCCAAGGAATTCAATTAAATTTTATTGCTTCAAGAGGCAGCCAAAGGACTTTGAAAAGGCATATTTGCAAGGCAGTTTGTATCTGAGGTAGCCCTTATCATTAATAATGATGTATATTTGTACTATTATTTGTTGTAATTGTCAAAATATGCAATTACTCATGCAATCCACGTATAAATTGACTATTTTCAGTAATAACTTGCATAAATACAGTTTTGTACCTATAACTCACCATCAAAAGATAACTACTACGAAAGACTATATTATACCAGACAACTATAAGTAGGCTTGCATTGCAATAGCATACTTTCAAATCTTATTCAATACTCCTGTGGTAGTAAAAAAATGAGTCATAACTTTTGTACCTCTATCGGCAGTACCAAAGATCCTACAGTAACGATTATTGGATTCACCACGCTTGCGTAGGCGAGTACCATGCAGTTGGGTTGTCATTGGCCCTCGCCCATGCCGTAGGCGTATAGGCAAGGGTACTGCGCTCGTATGGCACGCCGTTTGTAACAAAATTCCCAAGTCTGTGATGTCACATTCTAAGCTTATCACGTCACATTGTAAGCTTAGAATGTCACATCCTAAGCTTAGACTATTATGAATGGGTGTGTTTATATGGGAGTGGTTTACTATTTTGAATATGGACTCTAGCTGGTGACCTGGTGTAACTGAGGTTTTTTCTAAGAATTAAGCAGTCTTTTTTACTCGTCAGAATCAGATTGGAGTGGCTAATGAAAGATATATAAATTATGCCATAGAGAGACTAGAGCATGGATTTACAAGTGTTAACATTATTAATAATATTATTATTATTAAACAATATATAATTATTTACAAAGTGTGAACAAAAATGAAGGAAGTAATAGACAAATGTACAATAGAGACTCATGGACCAACAAACTTTAAAGGGTCACTAGTAAGTAGCTACTAGCGGCCATTAAAATAAACTTAGGAAGATAAAAAATTAACAGAATAGGATAATTTTGGATAAGATAAAATAAAAGAGAGATTTGAGCTAGGGAAGAGATAGATAAAAGGAAACTAGGTAACAGAAATTATAGAGAGGTTGCAGAATTAAGAGCCTGAATGAACATGGAGTTGGATTTTTTATATGACAAGCTGAGAATGGACACATGATATAAAAAGAACAAGTATCAATCGGGTCAAAATGTGCCAGAAAATAATGCCAGAAGAATTTTAAGAAATGTGACTTAATAGTAGTTGAGGGAGAAGTCTATAGAGGGAGAAAGTTCCATAATCTAGCGTCATCATTGCTACTATCAGAAAAGAAT